TGGGTGTCCAGAGCATGATTTACACACCCAGCCTCCCACTTCATGGGTGTCCATAGGAGGAAGTGTGGATGGACTCTTAGGAAGTTAGGGCTTTGGGGAGAGCAGTTGGGTTTGGAATCCCTGGTTGCAAGCAGAGGAAACATTTGTATCTAAATAACACACAGGAAATGCTCTGTTTGGGTGACCCTGCGCCGCTACCACAGAAATGCAGCAAGTGGGTGGCCTTAACAAACACATTCATCTTCTCACAATGTGTTGCTGTCATTGTTGTTGTTATTAGGGGCCATCGAGTCTGTTCCGACTCCTCGCGACCCTATGCACAAGAAAACAAAACGCGGCGTGGTCCTTCGCTATGCTCACAATTGTTCTCATGTTTGAGCCCATCGTTGGCAGCCATTGTGCCCATTTGTCTTGTCTAGGACCTTCCTCTTTCCCAGTGCCCCGCTACTTTACCTAGCATGTTGTCCTTCTCCAGGGACTGGTCTCTCCTGACAGCATGTCGAGAGGACAGGACACAACTGAGGAGGCTGGAAGTCCACATTCATGGTATTGGTTCTAGGGGAAGTGGTCCTGTCAGCTAGGGCAAGCTCCTTCTCTTTGCTCCTGGGTGGCCTTCATGTAGCTTGGCATCTCTTCCCCCCCTCTCTGCTTCTAGTTTATTGGCTTAATCTCTTTAGAGCTAAAGAGACCCTTACATCAATCTTACCTCATTAACATAGCAAAGGCAACCTGGTCCCAGATGGAATTGAAACCAGGGGCATAGAGGTTAGGAGTTACAACATATCTATCTGGGGGACAGCACAAAGGGCTCCCAGGAGAGGGCTTCAGTCTTGCCTTGGAATGATCACTTGGGAGACTCCAGACAGAATCAGATCCTCTCGGCCAGTGGTTATCAACCTATAGGTTGTGACCCCTTTGGGGGGTGTCAAAGAACGCTTTCACAGTGGTGTCCGATTCAAAACAGTAGCAAAATTACAGTTATGAAGTAGCAATGAAAACAATTTTGTGGTTGGGAGGATCACCATGAGGAATTGTATTAAAGGGTCAAGGCCTTAGGAAGGTTGAGAACCACTGCTCTAGGCCAACCCCAAGCAAACCCCTCCCTGCCACTGGTGTGTGCCTCAGGACTGCCCATAGTCACCTTCTGCACCTCAGGGGCCTGCTGGGCCAGAGTCACTGTCTGCGCCTTGGCCACTGGCATGTGGATTTGCCAGCCAGGCAGCCACCAAGGACACCCAATTGTATTCTCTAGGTTAGCAATTCTGGGAATCATGATCAGCACCAGAAGATGCCCAAGTCATCCTTAAAAACCATCAAGTTATATGTGTGGATTGTGATGAGCATTGTATGAGCCCCCAATAAAATGATGAAAGAAAAACAAAAACCATCAGGTGAGCTGGTGTCGGAAGACCGCGTGGCTTGGTTTGGAGTTGGGCCACAAGGGCTGAGCTCTAAGGTTCTGTCAAGTTCCACATTCGATTATCCTCACTCTTTTACCTGGTCTCATTCAGAACCCACAATGGGGTTTCAGGAGTTGGCTGACGAGGATGGGGACTTTTTCCTCCTGCCAAGGAAGTGGTCCCAAGAGAGAATGGATGAAGCACTCCACTCAATCCTTGTCCATCCTAACCATCTTTTAAGACCAAGGTGGAAATTCATCCATAGCACAGAGAAATTTTGGTCTGAGTCTGCAGACACACAACACCAAACAGCCACCTGGAAACTGGACGTTTCCATGAAAAACCCAAACTTCCCCTCACTTCTAGATTTTCAGAGTCCCTGAGAAGAGGAATATGGATTCTGAATTCTGATTGGAGCTAAGTCCACTATTCAGGCTGGGAACCAGGAGGCCCCTTCAGCTGTCGGACAGAAAAGAGCCTGCACTGACTTCTGAAGTTTTGGAAGTGCTGACCACTAATTCCCTTGCCAGGGAGTAGATTCTGATTCCGGGTGACTGTGTTTCAGAGGAGAACTGTGCCCCCTAGGGTGATCAACAGTTAGGGTCTTTCCAAAGGCGATCATGAGGCATTTCTTCCAAGATGCTCCCATTTGGACTGAAACCAACAACCTTTCAGACACCATCTGAGGGCTTAATCCTTGGTGCCATTCGATACTCCTTCCAAATGGATGATCCGGGCCAGACTCCCTTACGTTGCTATAGAAATCCATTGGTGGGACTTCAGTGACAAAGATTAATGGAACATAAGTTGTCCCAAATGCTAAACCATCCCAGCTACTTATTTATAAAAAGCCTTAGAGGATTATGTTCTTTGCAAGCCACACTATCAAAGGATTAGTACAATGGTTTAAAATATACTGATCACCAGGTCTGCTCATTACCATGCTAAAAAAACTCTGAAGTTGCCGTCAAGTTGATTCTGACCCTAAATGACCCTGTGTGTGTCAGTAGAACTGTGCTCTGGAGGGTTTTCGATGGCTGGTTTTTCCCAAGGTGCCTGGGGGGACTTGAAGTGAGAAACTGAGCTCTTACTTGCACCACTCAGCATCCTACCAGCATGCTGAGCTCTGAGGAAATCAAAACCAGTCTAAATGCCAATCTCAACCAACTAAGAGACTGGTAAAACTCAAAACTCACTGCCATGGAGTTGGCTCCCACCCACAGGGTCCTTATAAGACAGGGCAGCACAACCCCTATGGGCTTCTGAGACTGTAATCCTGGATGGGACTACAACCGAAAGGCTGGTGGTTCAAACCCCTCAGCTGATCCTTGGGAGAAAGCTGTAACAGTCTGCTTCAACAACGATTGGTGGCCTTGGAAACCACATGGGGCAGCTCTAGTCCACCATGTCCTATACAGAGGGTTGCTATGCGTTAGAATCCGCTCTGTGGCAATGGACTTGGGTCTGGGGGCTTGACTCCTCACAGTGGCCTGCCCATCAAGAAGCTGAGGCTCAGCATGGTTACTAACCGACTGGACTGAGGTCATAGCCTTCATTACTGGTACAGCCGGATTCAAACCTAAGACTTTCCCTTACCCCATGATGCTTTTCTTTATCGGTCATCTGAAAGGGTTGTTAACGGTTGGTTAACAAGTCAAACAGGTTGTTGAGGGCCAGGAGTATTTACATTCAAGAGCAGCCTCGAGAACAGTGAAAGCTTCCAACAACCTAAGGGGTGGTGGTGGGGGCTGTCCAGAGATGGCACCTTAGGCAAGGTTGTGAAGAAGGGACTTGTGGGGCAGAGCACTGTCTCAGGGCTGAAGCGCACTGAAGACCACCTTTCTTTCTTCCACAGAGCAGTGAAAGATCTTCCCCCAGGGAGCTAGGGAGCGACTGTATGGACGCTTAGGCTCAAGGTGCAGATGGAGCAGATTCTAGCCTCCTCTTTCTACTGAGGAATGAGCAGTTGGTGGTTTTGAACCACTGACCTTGTGGTTAGCAGCACAACCCATTCCCAACAGCTCACACTCTGGCTGCATGCGTTAGCCTGCCCCAAGCCTGTGAAGAAGTCGCCGAGAGCAGTGGACTGGTAGAATCTGCTCAGCGGCATCCTCAGATAAACCGAAGTGGTCTTGGGGCATCTGGACTGAGACTGGGCCATTTAGCAGGAGGGTGACTGGCACTTACATTCGACAAATTCCCGAGTGTGGAGGCTGGCACCACTGTGCAATGTTCAGCTGGAAGAAACCAATGGCAAGGACGGAGCTCCTTCCAGTTCCATTAGCCACAGCGTCCCGGGGATGACCCCCGTCTGGCTCTGCCCCATGGAACCCTCACTCAGCAGCTGTCATCTATTGATTCTGGACCAAGCCCGAGTCTAGGCCCCAGGATGAGTCTTCCTGCTTACAGGCAGAAACGGTGAGGAAATCACCTTTGAGAGAAGTCCCTTTAACATTTCTTAAGATTGGAAAGGCGCGCACACACACACACACACACACACACACACACACACACTGCTAGCGTCAGTCAGCTGTGGGAGACCCCCATTACGGTTCCAACTTGGTCACCAAGTAAATCATGCTGACGGCGCTTCCGTGTGCTTTCCTCTGTCATTAGTTACCTGGGAGCTCAGCCTGTTTTCTTCCTTCCCACCCAGCCTCTCTCCCTGTGAGGTTAAGAAAATACAGATAATAACAGTGAAAATGTAGAGTCTTGATAGGCTTTCTGCAGTGCTTCAGGAAAAGGAGACACGGGTGTTTGCTGTGGGTCCCCCTGCAGTTGAAAACAGTCATTCTGCACCATACGCACCGGGCACAACTCTGCAGGACACGGCGCCCGGTGGACTTAGAGCAGGCGTTTCCCCACACAGACTCCGAAATGGAAGTAGAACACCCAAACCAAACCCACTCGGGGGCAGCACAGGACTGTCCCACCGGATTTCCAAGCCCGGATCTTCTTGATGGCAGACTGCCTCATCTCTCACCCTCAGGCCCGAGGGCGGGTTCAAACTTCCCACCTTTGGGTTTGAGGCAGCGCTCTTCACCTGCAGCTCCACAGGGGCTCCTAGAGGTCACCTTGTCTCCTTTCCAGCAGCACCTCCCATGTGGTTCATCTTGCCCTGGAGGTAAGCCACTCCCTGGCCCAGCCTCAGTTTCTTGTGGGCTCCGGAAGGCGACCAGACCCCCTCCAGCTCTGACAGCCCTGTGTCCCTGCAGCAGCTGATATTACCTGTGTTGCCTGAGCACCGTGAGATGCTCCCATTGTCTATTCAGAGCGTTACAGCTCATTCTTTCTCACATTCCCCTTGACTCGCAAGCCCAGGAGAGGCTTGCCTAAGAAACCGAGCCTCCAAGTCTGGCTCTCCCTCAGGCCAGCACCACGCCTCTGCAAACTGCCACAGTCTATCCCAGTGACGCGCAGGTACAGAATAAGCCTCCCTGGGGAGTGGATTCTAGCTGATCTTCTTTTTACCTGAGTGACTAAGCTAAGCCCTTTGTGAGGCATCCTACATTGCTCAGTCGGCCTGCGAGACTTTTAAGAGGGAGGAGAGGAGACTGGCAGAGAGAACCAAGCAGAGTTCCACTTACCCCTACTTCTTACCTCCTTTCCTCCAAAGCCTTCTCTTCAGGGCAGGCCTCTAGCAGGGTCTGGCTCCCGTCTCTCCGAGCCTGCGGTGCCGGCCTCCTTTAAGTTTCTAACAGGAGGAGGGGTCAGAAGCCTTGGCTGGGCGGGTTTCTCTGCCGCAGAAGGATGCCCAGTGGACAGGCTGCAGCACTGGAGTGAAACAGGGGCGGGCCTGTTTTTATAAAGAAGAGGGGGAGGAAGTTCAGATGGAAAGGGCACAGCCAATCCTGGCTTGGGGCCAGCCCGATTATTCATGGTCCTGATGTCATCGAATCACAGGAATTTGGGAGTTAAGAATCATCTTCCTTTAGAGTCCCAGGCTCAGAGGTCTAAGAGGCCCCCTCCCACACCCTCTGCAGGATCAGCAGGTCCCTAAGCCCCCCATCGTGAAAAGAAGTTGCTTACAGTCTTGAACACTCGCACACTGGGAGGAACCTTAGCTGTTGCCCCCTCGGACCACTAGTAGTGGGAAGGGCTGGGCAGGTGGCTGGTGCCTTCTGTAGGGGGAGGAGGCTCCCAGGTTGGAGCTTTCTCTGAGGGGAGGGAGGAGGGCAGCGCTCACAGCCTGATCACCTCCAGTGGAAAGTGCCCCAGCCTGGAATCTGCTCCATCTGTACCTTGAGCCGAAGTGTCCACACCGCCACTCCCTAGCTCCCTGGGGGAAGATCTTTCACTGCTCTGTGGAAGAAAGAAAGGTGGTCTTCAGTGCGCTTCAGCCCTGAGACAGTGCTCTGCCCCACAAGTCCCTTCTCACAACCTTGCCTAAGGTGCCATCTCTGGACAGCCCCCCTTAAGTTGTTGGAAGCTTTCACTATTCTCGAGGCTGCTCTTGAATGTAAATACTCCTGGCCCTCAACAACCTGTTTGGCTTGTTAACCAGCCATTAACCACCCTTTCAGATGACCGATAAAGAAAAGCATCCTGGGGTAAGGGAAAGTCTTAGGTTTGAATCCGTCTGTACCAGCAATGAAGGCTATGACCTCAGTCCAGTCGGTTAGTAGCCGTGCTGAGCCTCAGCTTCTTGACGGGCAGGCCACTGTGAGGAGTCAAGCCCCCAGACCCAAGTCCATTGCCACAGAGCGGATTCTAACGCATAGCAACCCTCTGTATAGGACATGGTGGACTAGAGCTGCCCCATGTGGTTTCCAAGGCCACCAATCGTTGTTGAAGCAGACTGTTACAGCTTTCTCCCAAGGATCAGCTGAGGGGTTTGAACCACCAGCCTTTCAGTTAGCAGATGAGCGCTTAATCCCTGCACCCCCAGGGTTCTTTAGAGAGACCATGTCTATAAGGCCTCTGGCACATCATCAGCCAAAATCAAACTGTTGTAGGTCAGTTGATGGCAATCTTCTGTGTCACCAATTTGAACTGCACTCTAGGTCGGGTTTTCTTAGCTGTAATCTTCACAGAAGCAGAGAAACAAATCTCCCTTCTGTGTCACCGTTGAGTAAGTTCGAACCACCAACTTTTAGGCAAATAGTTGCGTATAATCTATTTGCACTGCCCCGACTCAGTAAGTACTATCTATTTACCACTGGTTGCTTTTATTCACAGAGGCAACACTAGCCAGTAAAAAAAGAGGGGAGTCCTTTGTTGTTGTTAGATACCATTGAGACGGTACAACAGACCGAAACACTGCCCTGTCCTGTGCCATCCTCCCACTTGTTCCTATGTTTGAGCCTATTGTTGCAACCACTGGGTCAACCCATCTTGTTATGAGCTTTCTCTTTTTCACTGCCCTTCAACTTTAGCGAGCAGTATCCTTCTCCAGGGACTGGTCTCTTCGATAGCATGTCCAAAATATGTGAGACGCAGTCTCGCCATCCTTGCCTCTAAGCAACATTCTGGCTGCGTTTTGTTCGAGACAGATCTGTTAGCTCTTTTGACAGTCCCTTGGATGGTACCAATGATGAATGTGCTCAGCTGTTAACCATAGCTTGGAGCATCATGTCTGTCAAACAGTGCTTCCAAAGAAAGGCCTGGTGATCGACTCCTAAAACCTCAATCATTGACAGCCCTATGGAGCACCGTTCTGAAGGAAGCAGTGGGGGAGGTGGAGGAGGAGGCAAGCCAGGAGCAGAAGAAGAGGTTGGCAGAGGGAGATACTAACTATGGGGTGATTCTAGGAAGCAGGATTTTATAAATTTGATTTCTACATTCTAAGTGTACTGTTTTTCACATTGCTGTGGGGTATCCCTGCCAATGAGTAACAAAGGTATCCTTTGGGCACTGGGGGCTCAGTTAGCTATGGGGCATTAGAAAAGAGACATCAGATAAATACTCCCATTACCCGGTACTTAGTACCAGGTCAGAGGCTGTTTTTGGCGTTTAGGGTGAACAGTGGTGGACAGTTGGTGGTCATGTGGAGAATTTAAGTTGAATTCTTGGAGAGGAGGCTCACTACTGAATCATCCATCACATCTAAACCTTTAAACTCCACAGAGACCGTAACTTGGATATTGACTTCTCAAGCCTGGCTGGTGACTATCCCTAGGGCAGGACAAGGTTGGCAAACAGAATGTTTAGTGCTTCAGAAGAGGGGGGTGGGGTAGATCCCTTCCTTACCACCTGTCAGGAGGTCTACAATCCCACCTGAGAAATGGATGCCTTTTAGTCTTTAGTCCCCAATTCCATTGCAACCCATATCAATTACTGGTGAAAACAGAGTATGTAATCGTGATGAATTTTTAATGGCACCGAATGACACACGCGGAGATTGTTGAAATGGCAAATGCTTTGTTCCCTGTATACAAGGGGGCTTCAAAACGGTAGCAAATGGAATGATAAGATGAAGTTTTCCCATAAACTTTTTAGAGCCCCCTCTTATTTCCTACAATAAGAAAGGAGAAAATCTCATACAAGGTGTTATAGGGAATGTAAAGGATGGGGGGTGGGCGATGGGGAGGAGGAGGGGAGCTGGGAGTAAATGAGGAGGGTGGGAGCACTGCAGATGAACCTGATTGCATGGCTCCCTTTGGGGGGCGAATCAACTATGGGGGGAGGGAATGCTCTAGGATGGATTTGGTGGTGATTGTACAATTGTCCCTTGGTATGTTTGAACCATAGAACTATTTGATTCTATGATATGTACATTAAGTGCCAATAAAACTTAAGTGCCAAGAAAATCTTAACTTTAAGACCAGAGTCTACAGTGCTGCAGGGACCGGTGTTTTGAAGAAAGGATGGGTAAGTCATAGGGTGTATGGGTCACCAGTCAGTGCTTCTGAGCTTACTCCAAATGACTCAGACCAGATCTGATTCTGGATTCCTAGAAACAGGGTAGTTTGTGTTCCTATGAAGTATGAAATTATTCTGCCTCTGCCAGGCCCGGAGAAACCTTAGCATGAGGAGGTAGGGGTAGGGAAATGGATACAGGGGCACTTATTTTAATCAGGAGATTACTACTCAGGAAAACAAAAATCTTGGTGAAATGAATCCAATCATGTGGTGAGGAAAATGATATCAAAGCCTTTTGCTTTCAAGAAAGATAAATGGAGGCCCAGATAACACAAAGTGGGCACAGAGAAACTGGCCAGAAGACTTCCTCCACCGTGTTGCTATTTCAGAATGCACGAATCACTAAGGGGGCAGAGAACAGAGGCAGGGCCTGGCTCCTTATCACCCAAGTGGAGGACCGGAATGGGCGGAGAACCAGGACCACCCTGAACCTGTCAGGGGCTGAGTACGAAGAGAAGTGATGCGTGGGTAAGTCCCAAGAAACGAAGTGGACAATTCAAAAATCTCACGACAAGTTCCATGGGTGGCCATTGGTCTTTCCAGGGAGGGGGCTCTATACCCCTATGGATTCCATATCCATGCTATTGCAGTAGGCCAGTGGGGAACCCACATGTTAGTCAGCTGCACAAGTGATCTAAGGCTTCCTGGGAAGTGCAAATGGTGAAGAGTTCGACTCTGAGCCGAAAAGTTGGCAGTTCATGTCCACCTGGAGCACCTGGGAAGACGGGCCTGGCAACATGCTCTGAAAGTTCACAGAACCCAATGGAGAAGTTCTACTGCGCCTACGTGCCAGCACCGAGAGCCAGGTTCCCCTGGATGGCAACCAGCAACAACAAGGGAATGGAATTCCACCAAAAACATCGAGGCATGCCAACTGGGCCAGGCCAAACCCATGAGAAACCCAAGCCCCAAACCCCGAAGCCATTGTCCTGAAGGTGATTCTGACTCCTGGTGGCCTTACCTGTTTCAGAGGAGAATTTGCTCCACAGCAGCAGCATCTTGGCTGGCGTTTTAAGGATGGCAGGCCACCAGGTTTTCCTTCATTGGCCCCACCGGGAAGGTTTTGACCACCAACATTTAGGTTAATACTTGTAAAACCCATGGTCCAAAAATTGGTACACTGGGGTCATAGTGGGATATGAGCTAAGCTGCTAAGTGCAAGGTCTGCAGTTCAAAACCAGCAGCCACTCTGAGGGAGAAAGATGAGGCGTTCTACTTCCGTAGAGAGTTACAGTCTCAGAAACCCACAGGGGCAGATGTACCCTTCCTGTAGGGTTGCTATGAGTCAAAAGGACAGAATGGCAGTGAGACTTTTTTGTTTGCTTGCATTTAAAGAACTGGTGAAGGGTATGGGAGATCTTTGCACTCGTCTTATAACTCTTCTGTAATTTTCAAATTACTTCCAACTAAAAAGGGCGAATAGTTTCCTCTTTTGACAATCTTACTTCTGAATAATTAGTTCACTATGTTTTTTTAAAATTCCTATATGAGATAGGGATATGTACATAGCACTATTTTGACAATCTAAATACTGAAAATAACTTGTAAGTCCCCCAAATCAAGGAGCAGTATGTGCCAATATAATTTGGTATTACATGAGGGGGCATTTAAGAGTTCATAGAAAAAAAAATCCATTGAATTTTCATTCCACTTTTTCACAGACTTTTTGAAGCCCCCTTGTATGCCATGCTGATGATTGATAATATAATAGAAATATCAGAATCAAGCATATAATTACCTGACCCCCAAGAAGTAGAAAATAAATTTACAGATGAGTTGTGACATAAACTGTGCAGATACCACATGTCTAGATGGATAAAGATTGGAAGGGGGAAAAAAATC